TCTTTCCCTCCTTTAGCTGTTTGATTGTGAAGAGCCTGGAACTGCATTTTAGGCAAAATTTGAAACTGGTTGCTCTACGTTAAGTCCTGAGTAACTCTGTGCTGAGAAGAGAGAGAATGCTGATATAGGAAAAAATTTTAAGCAGGGCATGGAGAGGAGAGAAGTTCAGAGACAGGAAGGGCTGGTGTGCATTCATGTCCCACCCACCCAGTTCCTAGGACATGTGCAACCTCCATGCCAAAGAGGACTGAAAGTGTTCTGAAGGTCTGCGTTTTTGCATGTGGTGTGCGTTTAGGCAAAACATTTAAGATTTTGAAATTTCACTCTAATACGCATTCTCACCATTGAATGGAGGAATTGAGAGATGGAGCACAGGGCCACACCAGGGTTTCTCAAAACCTCAGCCCTGTTGACCTTTTGAGCTGGAGAATTCTTTGCTGGAGGTGCTGTCATGTGCATTGTCAGATGTTCTGCAGCATCCCTTGCCTCCTCGAACTTGATGTTAGTAGCAGCCCTCCCTAGCGGTGACAGCCAAAAATGTCCCCTCAGGGCACAATCACCCTTGGTTGAGGATCTACACCAAAGTCACTGGTTTGGCTAACATGAAACCAACAGCAGAAACATCTCCCAACTCTTAACGGCACAAAGTGAGCATTACCAGTCAAAGTAATTATTTAGTAGTTATGGGCATTTCTTCCATGGCTCACGGCCACTTAGATACCATGGACCCTTTGAGAGGTCCAGGTTTGGTTTCTGTTGATAATACAATACATTCTGTTGATGGGGTCATAAACGATTGCCAGAATTTAGTTAACAATGCTGGAATTTACTCTGTGTCTGGCTAGTACGTTAGCCAGCATCTCCAATTATTTTATATCCTAGGACCAGTCCCTCACTTTTAGGACTCACAAGGTGTCATGTGGAGTTTCCATCAGTGGAAGGAGGGGCCGTTCGTGAAGAGTGTGAGTTTGCGTGACGCAGGCCACAGGCATCGACCTTAATAGACTGTAAGGCCCGGTGCTCATAATGTTGCCCTTAGCAGTGTGTAGTGATGTTCGGTCATTCAAGTAGGAATTAGGTTTCTACTGTGGTGAAGGGTGTGTTGAAAGAGATCTTAAGTCAGTAACAAGGAACTCAATATTTACGTTAGGATTTGAATTGGCTTTGCAAGAATCCTGCTCATGCCTTGAATATGTTAGACACTCAATATTTGCTGAATCGTTTTCTTTTTGAGGACCTGAGTAAATGGGAGACAGCAGAGGTTTCAGGTAATCTCTTGTGTACATTCCCTCCATCTACCATCTAAAAAAACGAATGTTTAAGTTTTGGGGACAGCTGTTTTACAAAGGACTTAGTGGGGAACAGATGTTCACAGAGAGTGGGGATTGACTGCCCTGAGTCTGAGTTCGAGATCTGCTCCTTACCCTCTCTGTAGCATTGGATTACTAGTTAGCTTCTCCATACCTCAGTTTCCCAAACTGTAAAATGGGGATAAGAATAGTTACCTCATAAGTCTCTTGTGAAGAGTGAACGTGCTATACATATAACACACACAGAAGAGCCCCCAGCCCCTGTTAACACTCATTACTGTTTATGTTAGGATTTTCTATTTCTGATCTCAATAATCCTCTCTAACGCCCTGTGAGAGAGGCCCAGAGGGTTCTTGTAACCAGCCCAAGGTGACACAGCTGATAGTGACAGAGTGGTCAAACTCTTCCATTATTTCAAAGATAGAGATACAGGTAGCATCTCCCCAGAAAGGCCAGGAGGAGGCCTGACCTATGAACCTCACCACACATTATTGATCTGTCATCTGTAATAAAGCTCTGTATAAAATATGAGGATAAAGTGAAATCTCATTGGTAATGTTGAAAGAATAGTTGTATAGACAGATAATGCCACTCAGAAGCAGGTAGTAAATGAGTCAATCAAACAGCTGACATTTTCAAATAGAAACTGGGTTGATTCAATCTGACATTTATTCAGGTCCTATTCTGGAAGGCATTATTGCTCTGTGATAAGGTAACCTGGCCTCCAGAAACCAAGAATTTAGTAGAGATTATTAATCACGTGTGAAAAACTGGGAGGCAGAAGGAAGCAAGTCTGTGGTCCAGGGATAAGGCTCTGGTGGGAATAAAGAGGAGAGAGAAGTTATTTCTGCCATGGAATGTGGGAAGTTTGCACAGATTCACAGGCAGTGTATTGGGGATTTAGGAAGATGATGAGAGAAAGACGTTCAAGGCAGCAGCAGGGAAAGCAGGTGTGTGGAGGACATGGTAAGTAGCCTGCTTCAGCAGTGACTTGCCGTCCAGGAAAGCTCAGAACCATGGTAGCAGGGCTGGGCTTAATTCTGTAGACAACTGGACGCTCCACATCAGGGCCGTGGCAGGAGGGCCTGTGGGAGTGCTGGGTTGGCTGGGATTGGAATTGTCTTCATCAAGAGAAAGCATGGCAATTAAGAGGTTACATTAGGAGCTGGATCTCACTACTATATACTGCAAAGATAAAACTTTTTAAAGAATTAATGCAATAGAACTACCATATGACCCAGGAATTCCACTCCTGGGTATATATCCAAAAAAACAAAAACACTATTTCAAAAAGGTACTTGTACCCCAATGTTCATAGCAGCATTATTCATAATTGTCAAGCTGTGGGAGCAACCTAGGTTCATCAACAGGTGAATGGAGAAAGAAGCTGTGAGATATATATATATATGATGGAATATCCATCATATATATATATATATATATTGAGTGTCAATTGACAGGTGAATGGATAAAGAAAATGTGAGATATATATATATATATATATATATATGATGGAATACTACTCAGCCATAAAAAAGAATGAAATTTTGCCATTTGCAGCAACATGGATGGACTTTGAGGGTGTTATTCTAAGTGAAATAAGTCAGAGAAAGACAAATACTGTATGATATCACTAATACTATGTGGAATCTAAAAAATACAACGAACAAGTGAATATAACAAAAAAGAAACAGACTCACAGATATAGAAAACAAACTAGTGGTTACCAGTGGGGCAAGGTAGGGGTAGGGAATTAAGAGGTACAAACTATTATGTATAAAATAAGCTACAAGGATATATTGTATAACATGGGAATATAGCCACTATTTTACAATAAAACTGTAAATATTATAAAAGATGTATAAACTTTAAAAATGGTGAATCACTATTGAACATCTGTAACTTATAATACTGTACATCAAATATACTTCAGGAAAATAAATAAAGCGCAAATGAAAAAAGAATTAATGTGCTCTGTTTATGGCAATAAGTTCTGGCTCCTCATGTAGAGGCAGTGCGGTCTAATGGTTATAACAAGTACTCTGCTGCCACGTTGCCTGTGACACTAGCTGTGCAATACCTGGACAAGTTGCTTAACTTTTCTGTTGCCTCAGTTTTCTCCTCTGTAAAATCGGAGAGTAGTATCTACTTCATAGGGTTGTTGTGGAGTTAAAGTGAGTTGATAGATGTTAAGCTTCAAACGGTGCTTAGTGCATGGTAAGTACCATAAAAATGTTAAAAAAAGAAGCTACCCAAACAGGCCTAAACTGCAGTGATTCAAAAGATGCTTATTCTAGGGAGATTATTAT